GGAAGTAGATTGCCCAATCTTCCTTCTGAAGCATGGCTGGTGGGTTTGAACCACCAGCCTTCTGGTTAGCAGTCAAATGCCTTAAGCACTATGCCACCAGAGCTCCCACATATAAGACTGGCAGATAATATTTCTATATACGTATTTGTACGTGCTGTAAGAATGTCCATGTAAATAGAACTAATAGGGGGCAAAGCTATGATAACTTCTTAGGCACATCAACCACCCTGATGGAGTGAGTTGTTGGAGCTGTGGGCCTGGGACCATGGTTGCAGGGGATATCAAGCTCAACTGGCATAACATACTACACAAAAACATTCTACGTCCTACTTTGGTGAGTTGCAACTGGGGTCTTAAAAGCTTGCAAGTGGCCATCTCTATGCAACAATTGGGGTCTCCTTATCCAGAGCAAAGAAGAATGAAGAAAACTAAAGATACATGGAAACAATTACTCCATGGGACTAGTGGACCATGCAAACCTCAGCCAACATGACCATAAGACCAGAAGAACTAGATGAAAAATGAATTTGCTCTGTAAACTTTCACCCAAATCACAATAAAAATTAAAAAACAAAACAAAAAACCCCACTAGAGTATACATTTCTCTCAAGTTCTCAGAGGATGAATACTTACAAAGTATTTTGAAATCCATGAGTTCAGAACACTTCTTTTCCACTCCAGCTACTTTTCTTCTGATTCCCCATTCATCCAACTTTGAGATTGAGCCAAAACTTTTCAGTATTCTCATTGTTAAATAAACCTATATACCAAGTATTTAAAAGTAAGAGAATAAAAAAAATAAAAATAGTCATTTAAGAAATTTTGGGCCAAAATGTGGAACACTTTTTGTCATCTGGGAACCAACCTATGCACCAAAAATAAGATCTGGACTCCCTTCATGACATTTGAATGCCATTTTGTGTTCACCATTTGTATGTTACATATTCAAAAATAAGTCAAAGTCATTACACCTACTCCTCACTTATGGACTATCTCATTTGACATTTCATAATTATGAAAATTGTAAAAAATCTACTTTGTACTATTTTGTGCATTAATGATATATATCTGGCAATAACAAGCACTGAGGTGCAAGGCAAGAGTAATGCTGTCAGGGTTAAGGTTGTATGTCAACTTGGCTAGCCCATGTTTCTCAGAAGTTGGCAGTTGTGTAGTGATGTAGTTTGGCTGTTATGTAATGATGTAATCATTCTCCATTTTGTGATCTGATGTAGTCTTTGTCTATTTTCATAACACACTGACCAGGTTACATAACAACCTGGTCTTTGGAACCTAACCATGTCGATAAGTCAAGAGTAGGTATATTTTGTAGTAAAAGTAGTAGTGTTCATACGTAAAATTAGTCATTTTTATTTGTGTCTTTTCATTGCAGATTCCTAATATTACATGGCAGGAGGGGTGGGTAAATTTAGGAATAGTAAAGACAACAACAAATTAATCAAGAGGTTTCCTTATATCTCAGAACCAGTCCTCAGTAAGAGTAAGTAGTCACATGATTTCCTTACTGCCTTGCACTAAAATTTCATCCTTGTTTTTTAATTTTGATATGTAGCTTAAATAAGGCAATAGTTCCTATGAATTTGTTGTTTTCCTTTTCTGTAAGAAGTAATTCATTAGAATGAAATGTAAACTGAAGATTAAAAGACCCAAGCTTCCGGCTTTCACTTGTACTGTCAACTATGTAGGACAATCTGCTTCCAAGTCTTCCCATTCTCTGCCCAAATCATAGTACCTTCCACTTTCTTCTTAATGATAATGATACAAGGATAAAAGTATTCATATACAACAGTAAGCTGCTGAGAGACAATGAAGGGAAAGGGATATAAACCCCCTAGGCATTAACCATTTCCTTATTAGAGCATCAGGACACTGAAATATACCAAGGAAGGTTAGAAAATCACCCCCAGAAAATGTTTAAAGCAGAGATGAAATAATTACTTGCTTGAGCTGTCCCATCTTCCTCAGACAGGGTCTCTCCAGATAGGACCTAACCCAGAGATTCTCAGTTCTGGATTTATGTTAGAATTACCTGGGTACATTTAAGAAATCCAGTGCCTAAGTACCCTACTGCCACTACCCAGTCCAAAAATTGAAATAAGATCCTCTGAGGATGGCAATTCAAATTCAGTGGGTTTTTTTTTGTTCGTTTTTAACAGTTCTCTCAATGATTCTAAAACATAATCAAGGTGGAAAACCCACTGTTTACCCAAGAGATCTATTGTATTGTGGTATCAGGAAGAGTAAAAACTGGTTCCCTAGCTCAGTAATCTGAGTTAGTGATTGGGGTGTAAAAATGGCTACGAATTCTTGTGGCAGCAAACAACAGTAGCTCCTGAAACATATTATGTTTTCTTTTAAATAACTATCTGTAATATTCTGTGCAAAAAAATAATATAGCCACCAAAATATAAGCTTAAATCATGTGTTTAATTTGCCTTTGATTTATGTTGCTTTTGTTTTAAGGGAGCTATTCACTCATACCACAGCCTAAAGTCTTTTAAAACAATTATTTTCAATTAATAGATGTTCAACCTCAATAATCCTCCACTTACTTCATTCTTTATAAAACATATTTCACTATAAAAAACCAAGATAAGCTTTTGGAATTTATTATAACAGAATATTAAACCAGTATATTGTTGGAATTAAAGTATGAAGATACAAGTCTGCTTCACAAAAATGTTCAGGGACATAGGAAAAGAAAAATTAGCCATCTTATTCCACCTTTCTTATTGAGGTATAGATTTGAGTAGCCATAAAAACAAACCAAACTCACTGCCATCAAGTTGATTCGACTCATAGTGACCCCTCCTTTGGTTTCCAAGGTGGTGTCTCTACAGAAGTAGATTGCCCAACCTTCCTTCTGAGGAGTGGCTGGTGGGTTTGAACTGCCAGCCTTCTGGTTAGCCATCAAGTGCTTTAGGCGCTACGCCACCAGAGCTCCTAGATTTGAGTAAACTTTGTAGTAGAAGAAGTGAAACTTTAGTGTGGAATCTTGGTAAGGGAAATATGACATGGGGAAAGAGGGTGAAGAGAAGCTTCACATACTTACAGATTATCACTGGGCAACTCTAGTAGAGAACCTCTAGTCATCATGATGGTTGGCCATGTTTCCAAAGACTACTAATATACGATATCATGGAAAGTGAATGACAATAAGGCCAAAGGTATAGAATTGAGGCTATTGTGCTTGGAATGACAATGAAAGCAGCAAGTATAGGCAATCCTTTGTTTCAAGAAAAATGACTAAACATGGGAGAAGAGAAAAACTAGTAGCTAGAAGGTGGCTTGGGGTTAAAGAAGACAATTAAGATGACCCCTAGTTTTCTGGCTTGGAATATCAGGTAGTTGGTGGTGCATTTATTGAGATTAGGGAATATAGCAAAGTGTTAGTAGAGCTGTGAAAGGATTCACACCAACAAGGGCATCACTGCATCTGTACTGCCTATGAGGCAGTATGTAATCATATCTCTTCTCCTGGCATTTGGAAGTTTGACTGAACCATGGGGATGAGAAATCCCCCAGGATCCTTGGATAACTGGAGAAGTGATTAATTTTAAGAGCAAGCTATTAGATTTACTGCTAATATGAGTAAGTTGTTGCTCTAGAATTAATTAGAAAATAAAGTATATATTAGTTAAAAGAATAAGTTATGTACAAGAAAATGTAAATTAATTCTATTTTGATCATGTTGAGTTCTTAGGGTTTATTGAAAATCTCAGGGATGGGGAGGGGAGCAGTCAAGCAAGGACACAAAGAGCATGACATAACTGCTTAAGTTCATTCATTTAACAAATATGTATTAAGTATCTATATCATGTAGCCTAGGCATACAAATACATTTAAGAAATCTTCCTGTAGTTTAGAGCTGAGGATGAAGGCATTCAGAATTAAAGTAGGTCTGAAGTAGCTCTTGGGACAGGTCTATATTGAAAGCATTCTTCCTTTTTTCCACACCCCAACCCATCACTTTATTTCTTCTTGTTTTTATATGGCTTGCCCATTTGATGAGCCTTTCTCCTTTTTCTCTTCCAGATGTCAGATAAAGTGGATTGGTTACAAAGCCAAAATGGAGTATGCAAAGTTGATGTTTATTCACCTGAAGATGGCCAACCCCAGGAATGGAAAATGGTAAGGGTCAGCCTCCTTCTAAACAGTAGGTTAGGAAAATGTGGAGTGCTTTGGAAGTAACTTTATTCTTCCTACCACCCTCTCGTTTCAAAAGATGGGATTCTTGAGGGGAAAATGAATTCCTGTAGAACAAAAAGTTGTCATCATTGCAAAAAAATTTAATATTTTGATAAAAAAAATCTTGTCATATGATATTTAATATGTGACATTTGCTGCTATAGCTAATTTACAAACTTACAGCAGTGAAATCTTGTTTAATTTTCAAATAGACAGGGATTAGAAATGAATACCTGCAAGGTTTATAGAAAATATTTCCTGAAATGTAAACTGTGTTAAAATCCTCAGAAAATATACTCTTAGTAGCATTGTTTCTGCCTTCATCATTCAATAAACATTTATTAAATACTTACTTTGTATCAGCCACTGTATCAGTCAAACTCCAGCCAGGAGAAGAAAACCAAAATTTAATGTATAAAAAAACATTATTTGCTAATAAAATATAGTTAACTACTAAAAGAGGTAAAAAAGACTTTAAGAGTTCCAGAAGTAGCAAAAGGAAGGAACTAAGAACTCAGAAAAACTCCCTTCTCCCACAACCAGGCTGCTGAGATGGGCCCTACCAGGCCATCCATTTTATGTCATGATGGAAAACACATACATACCAGAACCAGTAAGACAAACTGATCATACAATGTCCCTTATGTGCCCTGTATTGACAAAACAAATGGCCAAGGAGAAATGCTTATAGGGTTTAGCTCCATGTCATAAAGCAGGAAAAAGAAGAGTGGATTTGAGGTGGAGAGACAATAAATTGATAACGGTCACAGACAAAGTGCTAGATGTCAGAGTCAGAGATATAAAAATAAAGGAGACAGAATTCTCTCCCTGAAGGATCTCATAGTTGAATGGAATCACTATTATAATCTTCATTATCAGTATTAATATTTATCAAACATCTATTTGCATGTAATGTTATATCATCTTCTAATTGTTCAAAATCTCTTTGGTCTATTTATATATGTTGCTGTTGTTGTTATTTGCCATCGAGTCGGCCCCGACTCATAGCGACCCCTCCTTGGGTTTCCAAGGCAGTATCACTACGGAAGTAGGATTGCCCAACCT